CACAAAATGCTGATTCGATTTTCCATCCTCACAAATTTGTCAAAACAAAGTTTGAATCTGTGAACTGCTTACATGAGCCACTCTGATGCCTGTACAGAATGAGATTCTTCCTCTGGGTTGGACTGCGTGTAGTTTGGACAGGATGCGGCCAGAATCTGATGTCAGGGTGGTAAGGACCTCGCAGTTACTACATCACAGAAGAAACACAAAAGCAATGTTAGCCATACTTGGTGTTTAGAGAGATGCATAGAACCTTATGCAATCTCATTGGACAATTAGCCAAAGGTAAAATGGAGAAAATACAGCTTTTTCAAAACATGGTGGATGCTCCTACCACCACCGCATCGCGTTAGTATTTATTTTGTTTTTTTATTAGGCATAGCCAATTGTCTGTTTAAGTTTGATATTTCATTCAGACATATTTTCTAATGGGTGCAGACTTTAGTTAATGTCTGTAGTTTACTCACACTTGTTCTTTTGTTTGAGATGCTGCAATTACAAACCAGCTGGAGGAGGAAACCTGGAACCATTTATTTTTCTGAAAGACTGCAGGGGGGAGATTTTGTTGTTTCAAGTTGATTTTAATTAGTTAATCTCACTTAAATATTCACTTACTATTGTTTGTGCTAGGTTAAAGTTAGTTTTGCTTTATTTGCATCATAGGGTGCTTTAGTTAATTCTGTATTTGTTTGTTCTTTTTTTATGTTGTGCCTCCCTCATGTGGTAGATATAGGTTACTCCACCCCTACTGACACAGCCTTTTGTTCTTTGTTTGGAGGTCACTTTTGTTTGTGTTCAGTTAGAGTTCATCTGAACTCTAGCAGTTAAACTGGGCCTAAATTTGTTACTTATTCGTTAACTTATTCTTGCAGTAAATCTTTAAGCTTAATGCAAGTTTAAAGATTGCATTAGTAGAAAAGTTTCAAAGTAGAAACTTTTCTACTTTGAACAATTTTTTGTCCTTATTTGAGTCTGGTCTCTCACACAAAACAATTCAGTGAGTTAATAATTAGCCTCCTAGATTGAAGATGATCTGCCTGAAATTTTATGTATGTACAGAATAAAATAAAAAAATACATGTTCTATGTGCCCAAAGTCAGTCATCAAAGGCTAGCATCCTCCATGTTGTAGTTTTCTCCCTGGTGATAGTGACAACCTTTTCAGTATGTCGCTGTTCTTCTTTGGCCTTCTAATGAGCCGTCATTGGATCCAGGTGTGTTAAACCAGGGAGCGAACTTAAACATGCAGGGTGCTGGCCATTGAGGACTGACTTTGGGCATCACTGATCTATACATATTGACTACCAAATAAATATTTGGTCATTTATGACAAACATTTTCACAGGGAGTGGGTGTGTGTGATTTCTGTACAGGGCTGTATTTCCCCCATACTCATCCAAACCAATTGTTTATCCCCCTTAAATAATTACCACCAAGAGCAGCCAACAGAAAAGAGCTGTGTGAAGCAATCAAGATGGAAAGACCTCTACAAATAATTATTAATCGGTTTATGCACTGCACTTTTCTTGTTGCAAAATAAGAACCATTTTTCTTATTCCAAAATAGTTATCAAATGTTGCATCCACATCTCAATCTTGTGAGATGTTGATACTATAGTGGCATATGCAATTAACTGTATGTTTATAAGTAGATTGTCTCTTGATATGTAAATTATGAATTAATGTAATGTAGGGAAAAAAAGCTTACTTTGCCATGGTGATGAGTCCAACGTTGTTCTCTGGATTGCTGCGTGTTTTTGAGTGGCAAACGATGTTGACAGCATCCTGCTGAGCCTGTAGTCTTGTGGGTAGAAAGTCTCCATTTCTCATGTATTCGCTGTTGTCCACACTAAAGGAAAAGACGACAAAATGAGGCTGACCTCGGAGGTCAGACTAGTTCATAACTTTAACTGAAATGTAATGTTAAATCTAACAGACTGTTTCAAACTAGTATCACATCTTAAGTCAGTTCCATATATCAAGCATCCAAAAACAAGATTAAGGACGCAGTAATAATGTTGCACAGAAGGACTTTACATGTTTAAAAAACAACTAACGCAACTGGCTATGCATAACAAGACTATTGCGACTGGTCTTAACAATAAAGTGTTCGCTTTTACCTTAACAGAGCAAGAAGCTTTCAATAGTAACTGCTAGAATTGTACCCACATATTTTAGCTAAATAAATCCTTTACTAGGACGGGAATTATTGGCTAATTTTAGCTACAATGACTCAGCCACTCAACTCTGCTTTAGCCGGCTAGCTCTTAACCGTTATTTATTAGGTCAGAAAGCCGGGACATCCGCCCTGTGTTCAGTTTAACAACTTCAATTGTCGAGTACTATCCTATCATTTTTTATTATAAACAAGAAATAGTTTACAAACTACTTAAAATTCGTTTCAAGAGTTCTTACCAAACCATAGTACTTTCGAGCACCATTTTGGAAACTTCTTGTTGCTTTCTGGCGGAGCCTAAAAAAAACCCAATCCTATTGGACAAAAAATGAATAAGAGCCCATATGATTGGTCACGTAGAGTTACGTTTGACTATCAAGCTGCGTGCGCACCGTTTGCCACCCGGGAAGCCGAACGATGCCGAGTAGGCGGAGTTTCTGGCAAGCCAAATGACACACTTACCCCAGAAATCACTTGGCGTGATTCTGAGGTAGTCTGTTTATTTATCTTGATAAATAAGAATTGTAATAGGTTATCCAGATGATACTTTGGTAAAATCTAATAACTTTACATCCAATTCGAAAATACCATATCGTAATGTTTCTTGAAAAAGTGTCCTTATTCTTCTTAGTGACATATTTCACCCATTTCCTAAATTAACAGTAGAAATACTGCAGAGTCACCTATATATATGCTAAATGATTTAGGTAGGAGACAAGTGACTGGAAAGAGAAAATTCAGGGCCTCACTGGTTAAGCTGCTGCCCAACAACCCAAACCCACATTAATGGAAAATGGTGGATGAATGAATTTAGTATTTAAGTTCATTGAGGTATATTCCATAAACAGAAATACGCTTGAAAAATAAGAGAAAATAGTCCTGTGGCAGTATTTTTTTTATTATTATTAAAACCGACATTATTCAAGAACAGTGTAAGTATCTGATTAGTCTGCAAACATTTACAGCTACAACATTATTTCCAATATTATGAAGAAAGAGTGTCTGTGCATGTATCTCACAGGGAAGGACAACCCTGCACCAAGATCAGGTGAACATCTGAAAATCTCAAACATTGGCATCTACACCTCTGTAGAAATATTTATACTTCCATGCACATCACTTGACAGCTGTCAGAGTAATGTTGTGCAAAACGTTCCAACCACATCCATGAGAAAGCAAAATGATTGTACCAGCTTATAATAATGTAATTTCCTACTTTTTGGTTCCAGTTGCATGATTCAAGAGAAACTGCTTTTTGATGGGTGGCTTTCGTGTAAAAATACCTCTGTTTGCACAAACTCAAGACAGATAAAGTACAAGATTCCGATCAGAGGTCTCTTATGAGACAAACTCCAGATCAGTGTTTGTTGAGGTGCTTCTTCACCATCCATCAGTTACATTTGATCACATCTACTCAAAGAATAAAAAACAACAACAATCACCTTCTTTTAAAATATAGTTTTGACGTTAGCATTAGAAGTTGTTAGGATTCACAGTGTTGGAAGTCATATAGATCCATTGAAAAATTTGGTTTAATAAAAAGCTGAGAGTCCTGACTTTCCCCAGCATTATGTACATTTAAAGCAAGGTTTAAAAAGGAAAAAACAGCATCTTATTGCAAATGAATACATTAATTCCTTTCAACATAAACATCTGCTTCCAAAAAGTGTTCCACATATACATTGTATGGATTTGCTTTAAAGCAACTAAATCAATTATTTAAAAAAAAATCATAATAATTCAACTTCAGCCAGTTGAGGTCTATAAACTGTATAGAAAATGTGTCCAGTTATTGAGTATTGACAGTAAAGCCAATAGAGAATGATGTTACTTGCAATACCACTTTTTGGCCATTAGGAGGAGTAAAACGTCCCAGATTCCAAAAAAAAAGCTCCTATTAAAAATAAACTTAAGTCATTGACATCTTTAGTTCAATTCACACTTTGTGATTAGACAGCAGATGATAATTTTATATACTAACTCTTAAATACATAATATTCATCAGTTATTTTCAAAATGTGGTCACGTCTAAATATATAAAAATATCAACAATCCATGATGTCACTTTGGATACTTTCATCTTTTCTGTACAATATACAATAGGATAGATACCAGCGTTTGTATTAGAACTTGCAAGAGTGATTTGGCAAATGCAAAATAAGGAATGGCATCCAAGAAGTCAAATAAATGAATAATAGAAAACAATTCTGAAGTTACTCTGAATGCTGGTTTAAATTAGGAAAGAATGAAATATTATGACTAGATGTCAATACAGATACTCTTGGGAAAGAAAGATAGTGTTCACTAACCATCACATTAATGTTCCCACATTTACTAGTGTCAGAACACGTCTGTTCAGAAATCAATGTGCAAATGAACAGGAAAGTAAACAAACAAACAAACAAACGTCCGGCTTGGTCCCAGAGATTCAATACAAGGATTTGTTAGTCCTGGTACTTCAAGGAAGACAAAGAGAGTGGTAGGAATGGAAGGCTTGTAAATAATTCAGTGTTGCTCATGAACACTTTCAACTTTATTTTCGTTGAATCCTGGTTTCTGTTCCACATCTATCGCCTGTGGAGGAAAAAGTTAGATTAAAAAAACATAAAGTAAGCTAAAGCTGACAGAGAAAACTTTGATTTTACTTACAGAGCCTTTTCTCTCAGTAGAAGCAATTTCATTGAGTGGGATCGGATCCTCTGTGGTATGTTCTTGATCAGAAGACTGAAATCTGAAAACAAAGACAAAGGAGTGATTTCTGGCGCAGTACCAATTACCACCAGCAGACGGCGCACAACGACGAGACTGACTATCCAGAATTCTGCAGAAGTAGTTCAGTGTGAGCGTAAACTGTACAAACCGGTCTGTATCACAGCGAAGCCTTTACTAAAGAAGCCGATTTCTCCATTTCTGTTTTCACAGGTGGGTTGAATGCAGAAGTAATAGATAAGTACCATGATTATAAGTGTCTGTAAATTCAGGACAGTGTTTTATTGACTTTGATTCTATTTTGAGATATTTCTGTGTACTACTGCTGCTAGCCGAAATGCTAACTATCGTTAGCGTGACCGTTAATTGCCGTTGCTCTCAATGTTATCAACCGTTAGCTTCCTTGAAAAAGGTAGGCTGGTTTAAGATTTATTCCCCCTTAATTACAGGTGTTAGGGTAGTTATTCTTGCACTATTCGTCCACTGGGAGTAAAAACTGCTAAGCTAAGTTATTGATTGTATATGGAGATCCAGAATCAGAATTCATTCCACGAAAGCACCACGAAATTTAAACATTCCACGTGTTTTATTTTGTGCGTACTACATAACAGAAAATGTACAAACTGTGTAATTACTAAAATAGGCTACGTTGAGTCAGCAGGCATAGGAAGTCCAAATCCTATATCCCGATTCACTGCAGTCTGAAAGGCCCAATTTCGATGTTTTCTTCCCCCCAAAATATCCGATATGTGCCACTTCCAAATGCGCATACATGTCCGATTGTTTTGTCTGTAGTCGAGTTTTATCCAGACTATTATCTCATTAAGGTGAGACATCATAATTCTGCACCAAAAGAAGCTGACATGAACAATAGCTGAAAATTATAATTACAAAATAAGTCAGACTTCCTCCATTAAGTCTCATTGCAATTGTATTTAATCAGTAGTATGAAGTTACTACTGATTTTTGTTTTTGTTTTTTGCAAAACAAAACAATTGGATTTGAGTATTGACATCTGTTGCGTGAACTAGCCTTAGTCTGCATAGCATAAACGCATTATATGCTCAGTGTAAGCATAAGCTGAACAGTTAAGTCAGCATCACAGCAAAGCCATTACTCCAGAAGCTGATTTCTGTTTTCAAAGAATAAAGTGGAACATTTTGTTCCACATTAATCAGTGCATCTGCCATCACATGTGTACCATAATCTTGCCAGGAGACAAAATAAGCATCCTACCTGAAAGTCAAACCTTGACGTGACAGGCAAGTCTACATTGGAGCAAGTACTGGATGAAATCATCACAACACTATGAACTTTCGAAAAGCCATAACTCGTCAAAGTGTGCCATTATCTCAAGCGCAGTGAAACAAGTTCAAGGTGGCTGGTTCAAGGGGCATGAAGTTGAACTTGAATCTCAAAAGTCAGAAAATGCTCCCATAGAAAAACCCAAGCAAGAACACAAGAAACTTCAGCAGATGCAAGAAGAATGTTGCATCCTGGAGAAGAAAATTGAAGCTTTGGGGACAAAGGTAAAAACAATGGCAGTAATTGGCGACAAAGGCAAATCCCCCTGGAACCTACAGAGTACCTAAAGTCACATTAAAGAAATACTTTAATGTATAGAGCAAGATTGGGGATGGAGGATTTAAAGACAAGCTTTCTCTCACCAGTCTCAATAACCAGATTGAGTCAGGACTCGAGATGGGATATTCTGAGAATCAAATAATTGAAACCGTCATCAAAGCTGTCAGCCCTGTCCTTCATCTCAGAGATCTGCTTGTGACTACAAAGTTAACTCTTCATTGGACCTGCAATACATACTAATGGACATCTCCCAAACCCAAAAGTTTGGGAGATGTCTTTCTGGACAGAAAGGCTTATTACTCAAGCCTTTCTGTCCAGAGTAATAGAATTGAAAGAAAAACTGCTTTGCAGGGCTGAGGAAGAAGATGAAAGGGGAGCAGTTCAGCCCAAATGTGATCCAGCATCACTAGGTTTTAAGGACAAAGGGTCTAAATCCCCAGGATATCCACAGGATGTAGGCAAACATTGTAGGTGAGTACAACATTTCTCAAACAACTAGTAAGAACTGAGAAGTTCATTTCCTTTCTTTTTCAACAGATTTAACAGTGTGTTGATGTTTTAGGAAGCCATTGGATTTTAAATATAGAACACAAGATGTATGTTTCCAGCATTGACAAGAAAAAGCCCCCACAAAATTACAGTGCTGTATTTTAGAAATACTTATTTATTAAATTGTATTAAAACAGCACTGTGTTGTCACAAAGCACAACACTTTTAAATAAGATGGCTGCTTTTGCCAGTCACTTGTTTGGTGGAAGCATCAAATAATGATGTTCGTTTTCAAGAGTCGAAAATTTGTTTATTACTCTGTTGTGACTCAGATGCTTAGTCTTTTCAATTGGCATGACTGTGAGACTGTGAAATCATTTCTGACTCAATGTTTGACGCAGCCAGGATTGCAGCTGGCAATGTGCACTAAAGGACTTTCACAAGAGCAGTTGCTTACAGAAATTTTTAGGGTAACTTGAATGTTTGCCTTCAGAGAAACATGTCTTACTCAAGGAAGTTGTACATAGTCAACATACCTGTAGAATATCCAGCCTCTGTTTTATAAGCAAAAACGTTTCTGGCCACTAGTACCTCCTATGTTTTCAGTAATGTTTTGCAAGTGTAATTCACTAAAGATGCTTGTCAGATTTAGAACTGCACACTTTTTAGTAGGACATACAGAGAATTATTGTTTTCTTACATAATTAAGACATATTTATAAAATCTAACAAAACATCAACATCTGAAGTTGCAGAACTGAAAAATAAAAGATGAAAAGAATAAGGTATGTGAAACAATACCCAATACTCCTGTATGAGGTTCTTATACAGGAGTACTGTCTGTGGTTGTTTGAGAAGGAATGTTAAAACTTTGCTCCATTAAGTTTCTTAAACTTATCCTCAAATCAACTGTGCATATTGGCATCATGGGTTTTCCATCAACTATTACAAATTTTTTTTTGCATAATACCCTCTACCTTTCTGGTATCACATCTTCGCCTTCATAGTAAAATCATAATTTTTGAATTACTGATGCTTGACGGAGCAGTTGATGCTGCTTCATCATGCATCTCAGCTGAATGGTCAATTTAAGTTGAATCTTAAGCTTTTGAAATCTTTTTTTATGTCAAAACAAAACTGCATAAAGTGCATTTTGCATTCTACATCAGACTCTGTATGGACCATTCATATTCAGGAATGGCCCGCCATCTTCATTCCTCTATCAACTGCCTCCCTTAAGGATGACCAGTGGTGACCTCTGCTGGTTGGTGGCCAACCTTACTTACTAGACTCACCTTTCCTGAAAAGATCCCTCCTCTCTCACTCTCTGTGCTCCTTTGTCCTGACTGGTATTTAGGGTTGGTGGAGTTATTCTTATGAGTGAATCATTATTATTATCACCTCATGACAATCACACATGAATGAGCTCCCTCCTATTCCACTGTGTGCAAGCATCCATGTGTGAAAAGAAAGTCCACCCAAAGATAATATATGGTAAAAGAATGCACACTTCACTTCATAAACAACAGGACATTCATGGTGCATTTCGGACTAAGTAGTTGGCTAAGTAGCAGCATTCTTTTAGCGCTGGAATGTAACGTTCTCTCATATGAAGTGTGTAGCCAGGGTTTTATTTGTCAAACAGGGAGCAGCTTGTTGGTTCATTAATTATATTTATGCAATGACTTTATGTTGCTAGCTGTGGCATGAAGGTAACTTTTCTTAATACCAGCAGTGATGCTTTACACTTTCTTGAAAAACTTTAGAATATCCATTCCTCACTGCATTGTGACCTGCCCACCACCCACCACTGGAAACAAGCACAAAGTCGAAGGCTGGATCAAGAGTTAATTGAAGGTCTCAAAGCAGACATGGAGAGAAATTGAACACACCTAATCAAAATTTTAAGACCACTTGAAAAATTTAAATAATTTCCATTAAAAATCAGTTTTTATATATTTGTACTATGTTGCAACAGTATGTTATGAGGGGGAAAAAATCAAGCTCCTGTTTTTTCCCAATGCTAACCAAGAACAACCAATCAGAGTCAGGAGGCGGGTCTTAGCACCAGTCATTCCCTCACTACCCCTTTGTTTTCTGCCAAGCTACAGCTTCAATGACAGCGGATAAACAGTTTTCCTATAACTGTAAGTTGTTTCTCCACCATTAGTACATTGAGTAGCGTGTAACTGAGAATGATTGACAGCGCTACAGCCTTTCTCCTGGCTCTGATTGATAATTTTCTGAATCTGGTATTCCACTGCTTTTGAACACCCTGGAAACCGATGGTAGAGTCTCCATTATACATTCAGCATAATAACTGAAATTCTGACCTTCTTTTTTGACCCCTCAAAACAAAGACTAGTTGTTGATTCAATTGGCATCAATCACAGGTGTGGTATTTAAGTATTTTATCAACAACAAACCTTACTATGAGGACCTGGATGGCTGGACCAGCTGTATTTTGGTATTAACAAAATGGAATTCATGAATTCAACTCACTGACTCTTCTTCAGCCTCATACATCAAGAATCTAACTGGAGAAAGGATAATTATCCAAACACAACCAGATTCTCTATTATTGATGGATGTTGTGAACTCAAGACTTAATCCTGAAAAAGAACCAAAGGCTATTTATTTATATTTATGCAACCAAGGTAATGTAGCTTTTTATTTCTTAGATTTCTAAATTATGTCTCTCTTGAATTGTGTAGAATTCAACACTACACATGGAAAAATTTTAAAAAATAATTAAAGTATATTTTATTACATCAGAAATTCCTTGCATTTTCACAGGGCGTTTGTACACATGAGAGTTAGTGTAACTGGATTTGAACTGGACCAGTTTGTGAAGTCCACTGACGTGACATTTGTTGAGAATTACTTGCTCCTTATAATGAAACCAAATTGAAATGCTCCATCTAACCTCTGGGGGGTGCTGCTGTCCTGGTGTCTGCTGGGTGTTTCACTTCCACCTTCTCCTTCACTCACTGAGGTATTATGAGAGTGAGACAGTGTGAGTATTGTGGGAGTGAAAGATAGAATAGTTGGAGTTGTAGGAGTGTTGACAGCACTGCCGTCGTGGGGTAAGCTCTGCAGGAGGAGGTCAGGTCGACCAGACTGAATGCCTGGTTGGGACAAGAGAATAAACTTGTATTACTGGATTATGAAAGCGTCACTTCACATTACCAACACACGTTTTCAGCTATCAGTAAAACTTTGTTTCCCACACTACACTGAAGCAGCTGCGCTCTGATTTCTCTTACCGATGACTCCCTCGGTGTCATCCTTAGTGTCAGTGCTGACATGTTGTTGGAGTGAAGGTTGCTGGTAGCTGCTTTGAGTCAATAGATAGACCCCAGAGCCAGCAAGTTTCTTCACAGGACCATTTGCACGACGCTTCTTAACTGGGGAGGCTTTTACTACATGCAATGCAAGATAGTAAAGAGCAAATTAGGAGTTCAAGTTCTAAAATTGAGATGTCTCTTTTTTTTTTCCAGCAGTGATTTAACATAAACCTTACCTGACACCTTCTTGAAAACCACATTGCTCATGAACCTTTGAAATCTTTCCGCATAAAAACCTGGTCTATGCACAGACACAGTGTCCTGAGTGGGAAAAAAAGGTTTATGTTTAAATCTGTGTTTTCATCCACACCAACCTGACAAACTGGAAACTACTCACCCCATCATGAACCAAGGATTTCCAAGAATGTTCTAATTTCTTTACTAATCTGCAAAAAAACAAAACAAACAAATCCAAGGCCTGTTACATAAACTATAAGACAAAACACATGTAATTCAATTCAACATCCAATTCAATTTAAATGTTGAATTGAATGTTCAACATTTAAATGTTCCTTAAATGATCCTTGACTATTATGCTCATCCATAAATTCTCCTTTTGAACTCTTCTGCCTGGGCTTGGCATCATAGTTCAGGTATTATCATAGCTTTTCAGATGCTAATCAGGTGCTCCCAGTTGAAACCGTGAAAATAGTTATGCATCATAGCAGCAATCCGAGAGTAAAAAAGTGGGAGGAAAAGTAATTCTAGCTGCACAGAGTCCAGAACCAGAGAGAACAAATGTCAAAACATCCAAAGGCTCAATCAAAAAATTATGAACAAAGTTTACAAAAATAACAAATCAGAGCTACACCAACATGCTGCCACCATGAGCAGCACAATACTAGAATCATGTAGATTCAATAAAACAATTCACACAAAATATACAGCAAAAATAAATCCGATCAGTTTCATAGATTTTCAGTTTCATACCAACACTTTCACCCCGCTCACCATAAACTTTGCTCATATACCTAAACCATTTCATATTAATTGGCTCTCTTTTGTACAAAAAAAAAATTAAAATGACAAGAGAACGGTCAAATTGTGAAAACAAATGATGACGGGGTGAAATGAACTGAAGCTCAGAAATGTCTGAGAGCTTTCATGCACAGCTTCATTCATGCTAAGTGAACCCAGTTTAACACAACACATAGGTTTATGTTTCACTTAAGCTGTTCACAAAGTCTGCACAAAAGTTTTTTATTTAAGCCCAATCCAAAGTTTTAAATTTCTGTAAACTTAGAATATTAGTGTGTGAGTTTCGAGTCTTGCTGCTACAAAACAAATGATCTAGGAGTGTTTTGTTGAACGGATCTGTGTATGTATTGCTTTTTCCATGAGGGCTGGGTTTTGGTTTTCATTTACTAAACAAAGACACAAACATGTACTCACCTATAGGACTGCAGAATGTCAATAATACCAATGTACACCAGCAGCCTCTCGCCCTTCGAGTTTCGTGCAGGGATCCCTCCAGTCCTGAAAAATTAAACACACTTAGTGCTTTAGATTTGTATCTTCTGTCTCTGTCAGGACGTGTGATTATTCTACTTGGAAACAATGGTAAATTTAATTTTGCTCTATAATATTCCTGGCACTCTTATGTATATAGTTAATAAATTTTATATAGAGAGGAGGT